AGTCATGGTAGTGGGAGCAGGGAGAAAACACTTGACTTAATAGTCTTTTGTCACAGTCAAATGTAGTTCTTCCTGGGGCAGGTGAATGTGAGCGTGAAGGTGTTTTCTGATAATGGAATGAATTGAAATGAGCCACCCACCACCTTTGGCCCATTTTCCATTTGGTACCTTTTAGGAAAAATAGAATTAGAAGACTTCACACTCTGGAAATGAAGATGTTACACCTTCAGATTGGAATTGTAAACATCAAAGGAAGGGGAGGCTCACAGTGATCATTTATAGCTTTTTTTCCCTGCTAGTAACTATCATTGCACCCAACTCCATTTGCTTTTGTAGAGTTTTCTAGTAAGTGATTATAATAGCTCCTCTTGAATGATATTCTAGAACATTCTCAGCTCTGATAACTGAAGCTTTGATCTAGTTTACTCGACTCTCATTCTTCCTTAAAAGAAATGTAACTTCACTCAAGAGAATTATTTCCACAGTTGTCTCTTTCCATGGTGACCCACAGAATTTCAAATCTGGAAAGATCTTAAAGACTTTAGATATCAGGTTTAACTGGCTCATTTTAATGAAGAAAAGTTTAAAGTGGTTATCTAAATAAAACACTTTGGGGGAATAAATATGGGCTTTGCTTCTGGAATTTTTGATTCCCTCTTCCCTCCTACACATTGCCATTCCTGACTGGATTTAAAGTCAGATAAATGCCCTGTATTGCCCCGGGGTCAATGTTGCTGTTTTCACAATTGCTTGTTACTCGTTTTGTGTTGTTCCAGCATCTGTTGTTCTGCCAGAGGGTCAGATTTCCATCCAATTTATGACTTTCATTTCTCCCTCTCCCCCAGCTGCCAGAACTATATGCATTTGCTGAGGATTTTAAAAAGGAGAGCAAAAAAAGTATGAGCCAGAAAATTCACAGTATGTCTCTTAGTGATGCACAGAAAATGCTTAGTCAAAACTTGCATGTGATGTTCATAAACAGAACTGGTATGAGAAGCAGAGCCTCCCAAACTGTTCTTATGTGCACACTGCATCAAAATGAGGACCAGGAGAAGCCCAAGTCCATGACTGACGTCCTCCACGACAGCTTACTTTCAGGCTCCCTGTCGGCATTGCACAAGCTACAGAAGACCCAAGAGAGACTCCTGCGGAGAGGAATCCCTCCTCCCGTGCACACCTTCCCTTATGAGATTCTGTTCGACTCTGCCACCCCACCAGCTACAGCCTCCGTCTGGAAGAAAGTTCAGAGCACCTTGACATTTTACAATCTGGCCTTGCCCAAAGCTGCCTCAGAAAAATTTGTCATTGAAGAAAAAGCTCCTCAATACTTTTTAATTAATCCAGGTAATCTAAACAGATGAGGCCACATGGAGGAAAATTGATGGAGAGCTTAATCCAAAATTGACCTAGCTTTCTGGAGCAGAAAGAGTCAAATATTGAACTGGGGAATCTTGCTGTTCTGGGTTTGTGGGTGCTACCATGTGTAAAGTAGAGAACACAGATCCAATAGTTCCAGGGCTCAACTTGCACCCCCGGAAAATTATATTATTTAGAAACATCATTTAAACCTTTTTTTAGAAAAAGAACCAGTTTGGCTTGGATGCTCACGCTCCCCTGATTTTGATTCCCAAGTTCATCAAGCATCGACTGAACCGTGACTTTATCTGTTTTTTTAAGTGACTTTAGCACAATTGAGGGTTTATTTTAGCAGCATCCCTCCC